GAGAACGCGAAAACGAATTTTATGCACATAAATCATATATGATTAAATACATATAATAACATTAGATTAAATACACGAGAAAAAATATTCAATCGAGAACACAAAAATGAATTATGTCCATATAAAGTTGACGAAGAACAATTACCCACCACCACCACCCACTACCACCACCACCCCCACCAACATTACCCACCACCACCACCCACCAACCAGCACCACCACTACCCACCACCTATCTCCACCACCACCCACCTCCTACTACCTATAACTACCACCACCATGTGTGTTTAATGCATATAATCACATAAATCATATATGATTATATGTATTTAATCACATAAATCACATGTGATTAAATACATATAATCATATTTGATTATACGTATCTGTTCACATACGATTTATATAGACAAGTTTCATTTTCATGTTTTAGATTAAAAAAAAATTCTCTTGTATTTAATCACATGTGATTATATGTATTTAATCAGATACGATTAATATGGACAAAAAACAACTTTTGAATCTAGAATACAAAAACAATTCTTGTATATATAAATCACATGTCATTAAATAAACGGAAACAAATATTGAATTGAGAAAGACAAAATGTATCTTGTCCATAAAATTATTTATGATTAGATACGTTATACATATAATCACATGTGATTAAATACAACAACTATGAATCCAGAACGCGAAAATGAAACTTGTCCACATTAATCACATATGATTTATGTAGACAATATTCATTTTTGTATTGATTTAATAATTTTTCTCATGTATTTAATCACATATGATTATATGTATTTAATCACATATGAATAATGTGGACAATGAAAAAACTTTGTCCATATAAAGCATGTGTGTTTAGATACATGTAATCATATGTGATTAAATGTATTTAATCACCTATGATTAAAGTTGCTAAAAAATGATTATTGAACCAAGAACGCGAAAATGAATCTTGTCTAGTTAAATCATAAGTGATTAGGTACATATAATCACATATGATTATATATATATATATATATATATATATATATATATATATATCCTATCACATATGATTTGTATGGATAATATTCATTTTTTGCGTTTTCGATTCAATAATTTTTCTCGTGTATTTAATCACATGCGATTATAAGTATTTAATCACATGTGATTAATATGGACAAAGATTTGTTTTCACGTTCTTGATTCAACACTTGCTAGCATGTATATAACTACATGTGATTATATATTTATTTCATCACATATGATTTATATGGACAAAATTCGTTTTTGTGGATATAAATCTAATATGATTAGATACATATAATCACATGTGATTAAATACAAGAAAAATAAAATTGAATCGAGAAAGCAAAAATGAATCTTGTCCAAATAAATCATATCTGATTAGATACATATAATCACATGTGATTACATGTATTTAATCATATATGATTTATGTGGAAATTATTCATTTTTCTCGTTTTCAATTCAATAGTTGGTCTCTTTGTAACATCCCGACTACCAGGTATGAAATTTTAAGGATTTTGTACATCACATGACACCTACTCGACGAGTTGGAGGCCCCAACTCGTCGTGTAGAAACTAATAAGGCCGCGTGGATTATGGAACCTACTCGACGAGTTAAGGCTGCGCATGAAAACCCTAATTTTTAGGGTTTGCACCCTATTAAAAGGACCTTAAGTCCCCTCACCAGCCTCCCTTACCACCTTATTATCCAGAGAGAAACCCTAGCTGTGCTTTATTACTTTATTGAGTGTGTGTGAGCTTTGAAGAGTAAATCTTATGTTCTTTTGGAGGAAACTAGAAGCTTGAAGAGGTTGGATTGCATTGAAGGCCTTAGATCCGGGAGCTTCACTGTTTTTGCAACCATTTGGAGGTAAAAAGTTACCATCTTGATCACTAATTTGTTAGATCTCTCCATTAGAGAGTTTATGGTCATTTCTAGCTTATTCTTGAGTCATTCTTGGTTTTTGAGCATGCCTTGAAGCTAGGACTTCAGATCTGAGCATCTTAGGGCCTCCTTGGACTTAAAGTTGCCAACTTTTCTAAGTTTTGGCCCTCCTTCATGCTCTAAAACCCATAATAAGCTTCATATGAGTGTTTTAATCCCTTTGATGCCTTGTATGCACGTAAAGTTAGCAACTTTATGTGGTATCTTAGCCCTAAGGGGCTAGATCTGTAGTTTGGGGCCTTGGATTCGACTGGAAAGGGCTGAATACGTTAAGACAGGAAAACTCGACGAGTCGCTTAGCCAACTCGACGAGTTGGTGAGGGTTTTCCCGCTTTATGGATGATGAAGAGCTCGATGAGTTACTCTGGTGACTTGACGAGTTGTATCGAGCTTTTCTAGGTTTTCTGAACACTGAAGGACTCGACGAGTTGCTAGATGCACGACGATTTGAGGTCAACATGGGACTATTGACCTTGACTGTTGACTTTGACTTGGACTAAGGTTGACCAAGTTTGACCTTTGAGGGTATTTTGGTCATTTGGGATTTTAATGGAATTAGTCATATGGTGGTTACAGGCAGTTGAGTTTGGATTCGATTTTATCGGTTCAGCACTACTTGTAAGGTGAGTTTCCTCACTAAGCTAACAGGTTCAAAGGCACCAAGGTCGGCCCTTTTTGGATTGTATCCTGGTTATAGGATGATGTTATGTTTAGTGAACTGTTAGATCTGTATCATGGTTATAGGATGACGCTATGTTTAGTGATATGTTAGATCGGTATCCTGGTATATAGGATGATGCTATGATTAGTGATTTGTAGATCTGTTTGACTGTCTGTACATGCTAGCTAGCGTATGATATTTATGTGTTGATTGTATGATTGCGGGTGAGTTGAGGCGGTCCTGCTTTGTGCTTTAGGCCAACAGACCCAGGGCGGCCCGGATAGACTGAAGGCCATCGGGGCGTACCACTCAGGTCGAAGGCCCGGAGAACGGTCCAGACAGGCTGAAGGCCCGGTAGGGCGGACCAAACATGCTGAAGGTTCTGAGAGTGGGCCAGATAGACCGAAGGACCGGTGAGGGCGGTCCAGTCATCTTGAAGACTCTGAGAGTGGGTCAGATAGACTGAAGGCCCGGTGAGGGCGGTCCAGTCATACTGAAGACTCTATATGCATGCTGTTTGTTATGATATTGTTTTGGTTTTATGGCGTTGGTATTTTGGGGAACTCACTAAGCTTCGGGCTTACAGTTGATTCTCTTTAGGATGGTCGGAAACAACTCCCTTTGGGGAATAAGGAGTTGATTTTGTTTCAGGTACTTCAGATGATCGTGGGAAGGCGAAGGCTTGATCGTGCACCTCCTCACATTTTTTACTTTGATTTCTGGGATTCTCTGATATGAAACTATTTTGAAAACATTTTGTAATAACTATCGGTTTTTGGATGTTTGGAAAAGTTTTAAATTTGCATGAATTTTATAGATGTTACACTCTTTTGTCTTTAATCACATGTGATCATATGTATTTAATCACATATTATTTAAATAGACAAAATTCGTTGTTGTGTTCTCGATTTAAAAAAAAAATTCTCATGTGTTTAATCACATATGATTGTATATATTTAATCACATATGATTAATGAGGACATGATTCATTTTGGTGTTCTATGATTCAATAATTTTTTCTTATGTATTTACTCAAATGTGATTTATGTGGACATGATTTGTTTTCATGTTCTCGATTCAATAATTTTTTCTCATTTATTTAATCATATGTGATTTCATATATTAACCACAAACCTTATTTACATAATAAACGAATTTCTCAGCTTAACCATAACCCTAAGCTTTGCAGGCTTATTTAACTGATTAATCTCCTTATTTACATAATCGGTTCATAAATTTTCTTATCATGGAAAATAATACCTTATATAACCAATTAATCCATTTTATTTACATAATCGGTAATTGTTCTTATCAAGGAAACTAATACGTTTTTATACTTGCAAATTTTTAACTTCGTACGCTGCATATTCATATTAGACTAATATATATATATATATATATATATATATATATATATATATATATATATATATATATATATATATATATATATATATAATATGTTAGTAATCCTTTAGCACAAACTACACGACTAAAAAAAGCAATAATAAAAATGATTGTGAAATAATCAAAGGAAATATAACTTTTAACTTCAAATTTAATACCATATATTAAACCTAAATAAATCAAATTAAAAATAAAGATCATATACGGTCAAAAATAACAAAAATATATTTAATTAATAAACAATAACCAATAATGATCATTTTAAAAAGTTTGATACAAACTTTAAGTCAATTCTAAACTTAACTAGTAGACTACTTTAAAGCAATTTTGCAATAAATTAAGTGATTTTTGGAGCTTTTCTCCTAGAAACACTAAATCAGTAAATCATATCAATATCGTGTAATATATATATATATATATATATATATATATATATATATTATATATATATATCTATATATATATATATATATATAGTAGGTTATAACGCGTGGAAACCACGGTCGGTATATTTAAAAATTTTATATAGATAAAAAAATAGTAAATGTCAAAAAAAGAAAAAAAACCAAGATATTATCGATAGTAAGTAATTATGAATTAATTTGTTACGAAAATAAACATAATAATGTTATTAGGATATGATTTTATATTTTCAAAATTTGAATTGAATTTGATTTGTTACCAAAAAGGAAAATAATAAAAATAATAGAAAAATGTCACGTGTCAAAGAAACAATCTAAAAAACTGACACGTGTCATTTTTAGGTCTCAGAGGTAGAGGTAGATTAAAAAGGGATCAAAGTAAGGAATAGTGAACTTCCTAGATTTTTGGCAGAAATGGTCCCTTGATTATGGGTTTGGTTGTAATTCCGACTTGCTTTTTGTCTGGGGCATTTTATACAATTTTGTCGGTTCTTTAAGGACCTAAATTTGCCTCATTGAAAGTGGGTGGTCAGTGGTTGGGTCGATGTGTACGTCAAGTGTGATCCACATTTTATTTTTCTTAGCCTCTTCCTTACACGTGTCCGCCTCATTGTCTGAATCGTGTTCGCCACCGCCCCAAATATCGATAGGTGTCATCGCCTTCTCTTTCAAGGTACCCCCTCATATGCTCTCTGTCTCTGTTATTCTCCCGTCCTTCCTCTAAAATGTGACCGACTCGATCACCATCGTCATCGCTTAATCAGTTGTATCTCCTGCATCAGCAAACCCATTACCTTTTACCTAAATTCCTCAATCGTCCACAACCACCGCATCGATGCATCTCCACTCCTTTCCAGATTGTTTCGACTGTTGGAGATCCAAAGCTTTGTCGTTAACAGCACCGCTCTAAAATCTCTCACACCCTAACAGCCATTACTGCTCCATCCACTGCTTATCCTCACCATCGTAGATCACAATCTCTGCCTTTTCTTGATTATGCTCTACATTTCTTATTGGATCTTACATTTCTTTTGGTTTCCTGTGGCAGGTTCTATGTTTATCTCAGAAACCAACACTCTTTATCGGATCTACGATCCGTCGACCAATTATGTCCAGGTTAAATGCATCAAACCTTAGACTGCTACTCTCTATTTGTCGTTTTAATTTATAATTTGCTAATTTATTGATGGATTTCTGTTTTACGCCTTGTTCCCGAGTATTTTTGCAAATTCATTAAAAGAAAAAGGAAAGGGAAGGAAAATTTTGACAGAAAGAAAGGGAGATGAAGGAAAATATTCATTATTCTGTGTTCCCGAGTTCGAAGGAAATGAAAGAAAAATTTTAATTTTCGTGTTCCCGAGTTAGTAGGAAAAAGAAAATAAAACTTAAAATTTTCCTTCCCCTCACTTTCTTCCCAAATCCGTTCAATTTGGGAGGAAAATTTGGTTCCAAAATCCTTTCCCTCCCCTTATTTTCTTTCCATTAATGAAACTCGAGAACACGGTTTTCCTTCGACACCCCTCACTTTCCCTCCGTATCCTCTCATTTCTCTCGTTAAGTAGAACTCGGAACAAGGCTTGGGGTTTTCACAAAACGTGGGTGGCTAAAAAGAGGTCAATATCATAAATTATCTTTTCAGTAATAAAAACGGCATATTCGATTGGTCCTGCAAGAAGCAGCTCGCTCTCCTCTTATCCCTGTTTGAACATCCCCATCGGCACCATCGGAGAAGAAGATGTCAAAATATTCCTATTCCACCTGACTTTGAAGCAAAGAAAATCGACAGTTTGAAACATGTTCTCCCCCATTCTACAATCGTCTGACTTGCAGGTTTGATTCTACAATCATCCATCCTCTGTGTTTGATTCTGCAATTTGGGACAACATTGAAAAAGAAAAGCCCTTGGCAAAGGTTTGTGCAATTGATTTCGTTACAGTTTTCTGAACTCTTTTTATTTATGGTTTTTATATTCACAGTTGATAAATCGATTTATCCATTTTGATCGGTGTCACAGTGGCCCTTCTTCTTCCACGGATGTGGGTACCTGAAGGTTATCTGGCTTCTCTGTACCTCTATATGAACAGTTGTACATCGCAACAAAAACATCGCCACCTACCTGGTATTCGATGATATGAATGCGTCTCTTATTCTATTTTCTTATCATCGCTTTACCTTTATTTGATGATTTCACAACCATATTTTGTATTAGTTTATTGGATGGATACATTGTTGTTCTAAATAGGGCGAAGATAGCTGGAGGATTTAAGATCCATGACAATAATGAAGTACAACAGCAGGAGTACAAAGGATACTGTCGTTAAAGCAAAAATGCAATCTTTAGTGATTTTTTTACTTAAGGATAGGAAAAAGACAGCTTAACTAGGAAAAATGATAGTGACTGCTAGATAAAAAGAAAGAGGGACAAAGGTATTCAACTTTCATCACATGGCAACTGTCAGGTAGGTTAGAATCAGGTTCTTTTTGATGTATATTGGCTATTGAATGGTGTTTAAGGAAGATTCCAATTTACCCGATGCACCCTAGATGCTTAATCTTATTGTATAAATCCTTATGGAATGACATCATAGTTCTTATTTTATTATATAATTTAATGACACTCCTTGATTCATATAGTTATGCACTTTCTGAAATTGTTTTCCTTTTGTTAAAATTTTGTGTCTTTCGCATTGGATCTGTGACTCTTTTCTTATGTGGAACACTAATAATCGCAGGCTGTTCCTTCACTTTAAACTTTCCCTGCTTACTTTCATTTTGTTGTGGTGCTGCTAAGAATTGCGTATTTTCTATACTTTTGTGTAATTATGTTTGATATTTCACCTTATTTTGGCATCAAAGGAATACTAAAATCAGAAGGAGCTTTCGTGACTTGCTGCCAAAGCTCAAAAACCCAATATCACATCGAGGGTAAAGGTCACATTCTTTTCTTTTCCATTAAGCAATTTCTTAAATCTGGCATTGGTATGATTCATTTATGCAAAAATTGAATTGAGGATCTGAAATTTGATCATTTTGTAGAGTATTTTGTCTGGTCAATTTATGGTCAACGCTGGAGCCGATGCATGAGTTACTACAGAAATGGTGATTATAAATACTACAATCGAATTCAATTTCCACAATTGGGGAACATTCTTTGGAATTCATGTATCATCAACACCATTCGAGCTCGCATACACAGAGTTAACCCTGGCCTTAGGAACCGTAAGTCTCAAACTAATCCACCAAAATCTTTCAGTACTTGATCTCGATTTCACACGATCATCATTACTTTGATCTAAACTGAAATGGGTATTCTTAATATGAGTTGAACTTGCCATGGGTATCACTAATGTGGTCTAATCCGAAAACTAGCAATAAAGTATTTTTCAATATCACTTCTAGAAAGAAGGGTAACATGGTCATTTTCTCATTTTTTTTTTGTCTGTACAATTACACAATTACAGGGTATATCTAATTAAAGTTATTTTCGCCTAGAAAATAGTTAAGTGAGAAGAGGATTTCATATAAACCCAAAACTTTCTGTATAAAAAATCTGATTTCAGCAAAGAAACAACATAAAAATTATGCTTTCTGCATAAAAAATTCTGAATTCAGCAAAGAAATATCATAAAGTTCTCATTTCATGAAAGATACACTGTGAGGGCATGATTTGTTAACTTTAGGAATAGTATATATATTTTCAAATCGTTTTCATGTTGCTTTATGGCTTTGTACATGTCTTTACAAAGTTATCATGCATAGAAGGCTGGAAGTGGCATTCTTTACAAGGTAAGTTCCATTGTTTATGAAAATAAATTCATTGAATGGTTGAAGTTTAAATATTGACATTCCTATGACTTTTGTTCTGCAAAAGCTACAATCTTTAATACTTAATCCTTGCAATTTTGATGTTGTTTTAAAACATGTGAAATGAATATTCTAATAATTGTGGTATTTCAACAGTTTGTTAGTGTTTCCATAACACATGGTATGCTTTGATGGCAACCAGTTTTAATTAGTTCAATACTAACTTTTTAAAAATTTGTTTTTCATTTATTTATTAGAATGTGGTTATTCTCTTTTATACAAAAAGGGGGTTAATTAAGTTAATTTGCTTTGTAGGTTGGGGGATAGAGACAAGTATATGGTCATTTACGGATCTTTCATTGATATTTTACTACTATATTAAATGTGAGTTGTTTATCCCTTTAGTTTTTTTATCAAACAATTAGTAGTTTTATATCACTTTTCACAAACGGTGTAGCATTTATTTAGTATTGGTATTTTTTGCTTAAATTTTTTATCATGTGAGGGGACTCGATGTTCATTTATTTGAGGTATAATATATGTCATATGTCATATATATATTTTTTGTTTTTTTGTGATTTTTGTATTTTAATCTACATTTTTTATATATCACAGTTTAGTATGATTTTTTTATGGAAATATGTCACTATTTTAGTCAAGTAAATTTAAACATTTACTCGACCACTCTTCTGTTATTTCTTTAATTGAAGTTAACAAAAAACATTTTTTTTTATGGGAGAGATTGGTAATGTAGGTAACAGTACCACTTTCTATTCATAATGTACAACTACATCAAAATTTTAATCCATTATGATCCATCACTTGCAACTATAACACCAGATACCAAAAACGATCACATCTGTTTAGATCCATCCCCGCGGGGCTCCTCATCTGGTTTATATTAAAAGAGAAATATGACTTTTTTTCTTTTGGCTTCGTTTTATATTTACTTATTTATTTTTTTCATTTGTCTTTTCCACCCGTCCATTTTACCTTTTCAGTTCATTATAATCAAGAAAATGACCTTTTTTTATTTACTGACAATCGTCTTTTTTCACTTTCTCACTTCACTATAACCAAGAATATAAGAGAACTTATTAGTCTATTTTATTACCAACAAAAGAAAAAGACTAGAGATAATAAGTACCACCATAAAAGAGAGAGTGAAATGGAGAGCTGAGGATGAAGAAGCAACAGTCGGTCGTCGGAGAGAAGAAAATGACGTAGGGGATGAGCTGAACTATTGAATCCACAAAGATTTAGTGACAGTGATGACCTGCAACACAATCATAAAAAGACAATTCTCGCCGATTAACCTCTTCCTCCTCCACCAACACGCTGAAGGTCATCGGAAGCTCCTAGAGCTTATTGTTGATGAGTACCACGAAGCCTAAATAAGATTGACTAAGAACGAAGGCGGCGGCGATGACCGAAGAAACCAGGTCCGATGGCCGGTGAAATGACGATGACTCCGTGATTTCCGGTAAGAGCTTAAACCTTATAGCTTCGATGGCGGCGATGGTTTTCTGCTTCAGATCTGGTAGAAAGTAGCTCTAGTGGTTAGTGAAACGATAATGAAAAAGCTTTTTGGTTGGAAAGAGAGTTGGAGCGAGTTGGTTCGGGGAAAGGAGAGATGGAGAGAAGTTGTTTTCGACGATAAGAGGAGTAGAGGCGGACGAGCAGATTTGGAGAGTGAAAAGACGTTTTTTCGATCGTTCCGGCGTTCTGGTGGTTCGAGCGTTTTCCGACGGCGATCCGGCGGTTCCGACGATTGTCCGGTGGTTTCAATGATGGTCTAGAGAAGAAGAAAGTGACGGTATATTGTTGGAGAGGGTGGGGTAGGTGGTATATAATATTTTTTATTTGTTTAGTAATAAATTATAAAACAATAATAAATAACGAAATTTGTAATAGATCTTTAAATTTCCAACATTTAAAACTTGTGGGTGAGAATTGTTCTCAATTTGTTCTCAATATAATAAATGTTCTCATTTGAATATATATATATATATATATATATATATATAGAGGTTCATTTGAGACCACCTATATTTTGTGAGATATGGGAACCAAATTTGAGCCTTTGATCAAAACTGATCTTGTGGCTCATAAGAAAACGTGATTAACACTAATTAATCTAAAAAAATAGTTAATTAAGGGTAGATTAATCATTAGGTTAAATTTTAGATCATCAGATCTGTTATCTTCACATTATCACAAAACCCAGCTGCTTAGATTCTTTCTACCAATTCATACTAATCGATCAACATTCCTTAATCTTCGATTCATGCTAATCAATCTTCTATTTGCTTTTATTTGAGTGATTGTGGTTTATGTTCATCTATCGACATCAACAATTCATTACAAGATTTTTATCGATTTTAGCTCTGTGATCATCGATTTCATCCAAGGTAGAAGTTCAAGTGTTCAGTCGATTTCTGCTAATCTTCATCTTCAACAATTGTTAACGATCTTTCAAGCTGTGTTTTTTACTCTACATCATGATTTTATCAATTGATCAAGGTTTGAGTTTTCTTCCCCTGAGTTTTCATCACTTTCAGATCAATGATTTTTAGCTATTCATCAACATTGATAATCAATCATCAACTGATATCGATGTCCATCATATTGATGCTTCGAGTTTACTCTCAAATCAGGTGTTTTATCAATTTAACTTCATCTTAAATCTATTATCATTTCAAGTATTTGATTTCAGCCATCGATTATCAATTTCAAGCTTTTGGTTTTTTCTGTGCATTCGAGCACATATTAAATGAAGATAAGCAAGCAAAAACAACGTATCTTTGTGTTATTTTGTGCTCATTCTATAAAATCAATGAGGTATGTATATAACTATTATTGTTCTTGAGCCAATTCTCTTACATTATACGTGCACTCCACCTGTTTGATGAAAGTCCTGAATGAATAAAGAGTCTGATGTAGAGTCTAATATATCACTCCTTCCTTCCCACCCTTAAACTTTGTTTGCTATTTAATGATATTGACCCTAAATTCCAAGCTGATTTTTCTTAAATTAGTGATGATTGGTGTACTTCGTTTTTCAGTGGTTGAAGGACATACAACTATCATCTATGCAAATGTTCAGTGTATATGTTGGAAGAAGCGTATCATCCCTATCTTGCCACCATTAATTAATGATGAGAACTTCAAGATTCAAGAAGCATATTGACATGTTGGTTTCAATGGTTCTTGGTCCATGCTAAGAAGTTGATGGATGATGAGGTCTTAGTTCATCTTTAGAATCGAAATCTGTAATGAGGATGTTGTTTAATTTACTCCCTGCACTCTCTTTATTTCTTTCTTGATGAAATTGTTCTCTACATTTGTGCAACTTTAAACAGTGTTATTGCAGCAGATATATATCCTAATACCCATCAAACCCCTTTCATCCCTCTCACAGTGTAAAGTGGTACATATAATTATTAAATTAGCTAAATCTTTCATGTCTTCTATCATTACAACTTTTTAGGTAAGTCTTGAATGGAACTGTAGAGAATGTGACTCGATAATAATTTCTTGTAGTGTCTCATTCAATGTAGTGGGATGTTGTAAATTTGCTTATATTTTTTTGTTTGGTTTCAAGTGATGTATTTGAGGTAATTGAATAAAACGATAACACTATATTCTAAGTTTTTACTTTTACATTGGTATTTACAAATAAACTGTGCATTATTTTAATTTTCTTACATATATATTGCTATATTCTAGTTTGATATTTGATGTTCATATAATCATTTAGTGTTACATTCTATTTAGAATGTTCTACATATACAAACATCGTATAGCATTATTCTATAAGAATATTAAGTTGTAACTTGAATATAGACAACCTAATTAAATTATTATGTTAGAATGGTATGTATATTCAGAATATTAAATATAACATTAGAATCTTATGTAATATAAGTTCATTTTATATGTTATAACACAATTTAGAATATTACACTTTAATATTATAATATTCCATACAATTTCATAATATTACGTATCAATTAACAACATATTAGTAAATACTGTAACCTTGTGATATATTTTTTATAATACAAACTTGAAATTTGGTTTTTAATCTATGAGGTTTTTAAAATACGTTTCAACTTCCAGAGAAAAGTTTGATATTTATCCTAAAAGTATTCATTTCATTTTATAAACTTATATGTTTCTCACTCGTTTAAAAAAGTTTATTAGTCTAGGTTCCTACATATTATTTGGTTTCCTACACACTTGAAGGGAATGATGGTCTGAATTAGAATATTTCATATTATAATATAATATTACATCATATTACAATCTTTCAGATTATTACACATTAACATTATAAACATTTCTTTTCTATAAATCAATTTTTTTCTATAGACTATTCTATATATTCCTATAACACTATAAGTTGTAAATTCAGAATATTACATAATATTTCATATAATATTAGAATCTTACATAATGTAAGTTAATTGTACACATTACAACATAATTTTAAAGGGCAAACATCTTTTGTATGATGATTGCAGTATAATCTTATATAATCTTACATAATTTTTGCATTGAAGTATATATGAATAGTCTTATGTATGATAATTAGAGTATAATGTTTTGTTACCAAATTATTATAATACAATATTATACATGTAAGAATATTATATTGGTATATATATGCAACATCTTTTATTATTCTAATAGAATAATGATGCCTTTAACATTATTCTATTAGAATATTCTAAATTTTTTTTGTTTACTATAGAATACTCTACCATGACCATTAAGAAGTGATCATAATACCAACTATTCATTAAGCATTAATCACCTACCATATCAAGTTTCTTACATAATACTAGACAACATTTTTTTGTATAATTTGTTCAAAATAAGATAGATATTACAAAAGGAATTGTTGTTTAGTCACCATAACCACGTTTAAGTAATTCCAAACTTCTATCAAATCCTATTTATTACCCTTTTCTCGACTAGAAAAAAATGTAGTTGAAAATATGTCTCTAAACTTCCTTATCATCTCCTTCGTTCTATTGTCTTCAGAGAATTTCGATAGACAATGCAAAATAATATCTTCCATATTATCCTTTTAAGTTGAGACATTGTTGAAAATTGTTTCATACTTTTCTTCATACTCCTGGGAAAAAAAAGACATTAGAATATTTTTCTTATATTAAGTTAGGACATAATTAAAATATATTCTAAAGCATAATTAGATAATATATTCTACTTAGAATATACCTCAATACGTGTGTCCTGATTCTCATTCTCCTGATTCTCATTCTTGTCACGTTCTAAATTTGAACTTTGTTCAATTAGATTTCCAACCCCAAATCCACCGGCTTCAATCTCAAAAGATTGTCTTTCCTTCAACTTATCTGATGTCCACATCGTAACTAATGGTGTTTTACGTTCTATTTTTTGGAGCTTGCATTCAATTTCATCACAGTAAATTAGCTGCATTATTTCAACATCATATTAGATATCCATTTTTAAGAAAAAAATAAGTATATGAAAAAACATACCAACAACAACAACATCGGGCCTCTGTAATAACACTTGGGGTTGTCTGGACGCCATCTCCCTTTTGAATTTTTCACACAGTACAACAAATACGCACACCAATCGATTTTAGAAATGTCATCTACTTCAACAAGTGCTCTAACTGGAACTAAGTTGTTTGTCCCCGTAGGAATGGATTCTGCAAACGTATTAACAAATAAAGCTATGAAACCCAGCTTGAAATTCATATCCACTTGTTCGGATTTTTGAATAATCTTCTTGTAGTTTGTTGCATTTGCCTTTCCACCTTCAAGCTCCTTCATCCATCCATCAAACACTTGATGATCTTCGCTAACCATGTCCAAGTCAAATAAGCTTTTTCCAGTTTTGGGTAAACCAAACACTTTATGAATTTTTTCCTTTGTGATCTTTATTCTTTTTCCTTTAATCAGAATACTGTTTGTGCCTTCATCATAATGCTCAAGCACAAAATGGCAAAGTTTTAAGGGAATACTCTTAATGTTGATCTTCAAAAATGCTTTAAATCTCATCCGTTTTACCCAATCTTTTTGTTCTGATGTCAAAGAACTTACAACATCTGTCATCAATCCAGGTGTCGATCTAGTGTTTATTGAAGGCAACTCCTTCAATATATCTTTCACAGTCTTTTGCTATTTGACGGTTTTTTGCTTCTTTATTGCTGCACGATTGTCCCCACTATTCATCTTCCTTTTTGCTTCTTTAATCTTTGTCACTCCTTTAACATATTTTCTATCACCAATTCTCTTTTTTACATAGATTTCTTCATCAGATTCATCATATAATTCATTACATCAATCATAAATGTTAGTAACACCACAAAAATCCAAAAATCCTATATCATCTAATTACAAAGTAATATTCCAAAAGAATATTATACATATACACTTATTATATCAGAATATTGTATGGATCAAATGGGTGTTTTTATGTGCTGAACGAAAAAGAATGAAAAATTTCATTCCTGCCCCTCCGTGTCTTGATCTAATACCAAAGTTCCATTAATTTACAAAAATGTCACTGCCTATTTTATGGTTTAATCTAAATTAATATAAGCCTTTGATTATTGAAGATGAGTGGTCAAGATTTGGTCTCCCCGTCTCATAAAATCTAGTGGTCTCACATGAACCTAACCCTATATAGAAAAACATTAATAGAATATATAATATTTTATTATAATACATAGAATAACAGAAACAAATGAGATAAATATTTTATTAGAATACATAGAATACACAATATATCATTTATTCTTTTATATTTTATTATAATACATAGAATATTTTATTATAATACATAGAATAACATAAACAATTGAGATTAATATTTAAAAATATTCTATTAGAATAAGATTAATAGAATGTAGAAAAATATTAATTGAATATAGAATATTTTATTATAATACATAGAATAACAGAAACAAATGAGATAAATATTTTATTAGAATAGAATAACTGATGATGTACCTTTTTTCTTTTTCTTTTGAAGTTGTAGCTGTTGATTCATCGATAGACTTCGATGATTTTCTTTTTTGAACCAACCATTTGTCTGTTGAAGTTTCCACTTCATTACTTCTACCCGTTGTCATCATTTTTATTTTTGATTTTGTCATTCTTGTTATAATATTAGCTGCATGAAAATAATTAATGTTAGTACAAACAGTTGCATAATATTAGAATTATAAACTATAAAGTCAAAGATTGAGCTTAAAAGTGTAGCAGTTTAAAAGTATTTTCTTCATTCTTTAATTGATCATCATTTTCCTTCATATGTTATATGTTCTGTTTAGAAAAATAAAAAATCTAATCATAATACTTATACCAGGGAATTGTCACCTAATTTCATCTTTCAACAAGGTACCGGTCAAACGATTCTAAAAATCTCTCAAACCAGCCATTTTTGAAACAGGGGTAAAATCTTCAATACTTTGCAATGCATTTGCACAAGGTCCTTACTCCTGCTAGTTTGATTACTACCGATTTTGCAGATTAATGTAATGTTATTTTCTACATTTTCGCTTGCTTCTTGAAGGTATGGTATATCTTGCATCTTATTTCATTTCGTTTCACCTATTTCACTTTATGATCCTATTAATGGGTATTTGCCTAACCCTAATCACTAACAGTATGTAGATTTGGAGAATGGAGCAACAATAGAAGATCAATTGTCGAAGCAACATCCTTGTTATCAAACGAGAACAATGATATATAATGATAATTAACAGAACTATTGAAAATACCTGGAATTTCTTGAGAAGTTTTGGTAATAATGTCATTTAGATGATCTGATGGTGTAGATTCTGAAGCACGTGTTGATGTATCCATTTTCTTTGATAGAAATATTCGATAAGAATCAAAGTAAGTAAGTTTAGGGTTTTATCGAGGGATTAAAGTGCAGAACTCCACAAATGAAATCGATCCAAAGAGAAATCGAAGATGACGAGTTCAAAATCACAAGAAGTTAGTGTTCTAGTTGATTATCGAGGGTTTTTGTGTAACAATCGGAAGATGAATTTCAGGAAGCAGAACGATGATTGAGATTTGGATCAAATGGGTTTTAGTGTTCGTATCTAGGATTTTTAGGAAGAATACTGGGTGTTTTTGTGTGCTGAACGAAAAAGAATGCAAAATTTCATTTCTGCCCCTCCGTGTCTTGATCTAATCCCAAAGTTCCATTAATTTACAAAAATGCCACCGCCTATTTTATGGTTTAATCTAAATTAATATCAGCCTTTGATTATTCAAGATGAGTGGTCAAGATTTGGTCTCCCCGTCTCACAAAATCTAGTGGTCTCACATGAACCTAACCCTATATATATATATATATATATATATATATATATATATATATATATATA